TTTCTTACAGTAGTTTTTGTTTTATGCATTTCTACTTGGTTCTTTCTTCCATCTCTCTGATGAAATTTCCCATTTGTTCATACATTTTATCCACTTTTCCCACTAACTTTTAACAAGTTGATTATCAGTATTTTCATCACCTGATATATTTAACATTTATGTTATAACTTGTTCTGGTTCTGTTAATTGCTTTATCTCTTGACTTTTTTTTTCTTTTTCTTCTCTGTGTGCTATATAATGTTTTTGTTGAAAGATGGATATTGTGTAATCTAGAGACTGAAGTAAAATATGGTAGTCCCCTTTTATTCATGTTTTCACTCTCTGCAGTTTCAGTTACCCACAGTCAAGGCAGTCGAAAAATATTGAATGGAAAATTCCAGAAGTAAGCAATTCATAAGTGTTAAATTACATGTTCCTCTGAGTAGGATGATGAACTCTGGCACCACCCCACTCCGTACTGCCCAGGATATGAATTCTCTTTTCTCCCAGCATATCCGTGCCACCTGTGCTACCTGCCCGTTAGTCAATAGGCAGCTGTCTTGGTTATCAGATCTACTGTCATGGTACTGCACTGCTTGTGTTCAAGTAGCAATTGTTTCACTTAATAATGGCCCCAAAGCACAAAAATAGTGATGCTGGAAAATTGGATATGCCAAAGAGAAGACATTAAGTGCTTCCTCTAAATGAAAAGCTGAAAGTTCTTAACTTAATAAAGGAAAGAAAAAAATTGTATGTTAAAGTCACTAAGATCTACAGTAAGAACAAGTCTTCTGTGAAATTGTGAAGAAAGAAAAGAAATCTATGCTAGTTTTGCTGTTGCACCTCAACTGAAAAAGGTATGGACACTGTACATAAGTCTTAGTTAAGATGCAAAAAGCACTAAATTGGTGGGTAGAATACATGAATAGAAATGTCTCAATTGATAGCAATCAGATTCTATACTATCTGCAGTTCCAGGCTTCCACTGGGGGTCTTGGAATATACCCCATGTGGATGAGGGGGAACTGGTGTAGTATATTTCATCTTATGCTCTAGAGTCTGAGGTACCGTGTTTCCCCGAAAATAAGACAGGGTCTTATATTTATTTTTCCTCAAGAAGACATCCTAGGGCTTATTTTCAGGGGATGTGTTATTTTTTTAAGGACAGTACAACAATCTACATTTATTCAAATATAGTTAAGTCATCTTCTTCTGGAACATCATCATAACTCTCCAAACCCCAAATTCCATCCTGAAATTTCTTGCAACTCTATTTCCTTTAGAACCATTGGCCCCAGTCTCTTATGTCAAACAATAGAGCTCTCATGGGGCAGATGAGAAGGGCTGCTCGTCTTCTTTACTGCTCTGTGACAAAATGCATGGGTTGTGCAGATACCCTGTGTAGCCACGCCCATCACTAGGTCTTATTTTTGGGGTAGGGCTTCTATTGTGCAAATGCTTAGAAATCCTGCTAGGGCTTATTTTATGGGTAGGTCTTATTTTCGGGGAAACACAGTATGTAGGAATGGATATGCCTTTTTCCTTAGTAGGTCTTCAGTGTGAGGAGCTGAGTCACTATAGTCAGCAATTGAGCAGGGTTCAGGGTTTGATGTTGCTGTGGTTACTCTCGGTGCACCACCAGCTTCTGATTCCTCTAGTGTTACCTTGAGTGTAGAATGAGAAGTGGTTTGCTAGAGGATTCACATCAGTCGGTTCCCCCTCTGCTTTAGGCCTTCCCACTGTACTTGCACCTCAGAAGAGGCTTCTCACTATGACCCTGTCTACTTCCCAGCAGCAGAGTGCTCTTACTTGTGATTCCCTTGTTGCTAACCTGGTTGGGGGTGATACTCCCTGAGGTCCTTGTTCAGCCTCAGCCTGTGCAGCCTGCGGTGTCCTTGGGTCTCAGGCGGTTCCATTCCACAGGTAGAGGGGGGTGTCTTACAGACTGGGTCCAGGATGCTTTTTCCCTTCTCTGCCCCCAGCGTTAGTGAGCCTTCACCTGTGCTGTGAAGGTGACAGTGTTGGGTACTTTCCCTCAGTATCTTATGCTTTCCATCCATTAGGGAGAGAGGGGAAAGGATCCTGAGTGGGGTTTGTGCCTTTCCTGCAGAAGCTGCCTCTCCTCTCCCCAAGCATGCATCATGAAGGAGGATTTCTCAAGTTCCTCACCCTGTCTCCAGTTTTTCTCCTGAGTTTCTGACAAGGTCCTCACATGCATTATCTTTTCTTTGTTTTTTACCTCTCTTCTCTTCACTAATTTATATACACGTGCCTTTGTTCTATGTCGATAGTTTATTTTCAACTGTTTTATTTCTTACAATGTTTGATTTAATTATAAATTAGTTCTATAATCATGTACTTTTGAATTTTTATTTTCTTTTTTTAGGTCTTCAAACTTATTTTTCACTTCATTCTATTCTCATCTCAATTCTGAACTCTTATTTAAAATAATTTATGTTCTTATTTTTTCTACAGATGTTGCAGATACAGTCAATTTTCTTTTTCTATGTTATCTTGCATTTTATAATGGACTTTTAAATTTTTTGCATGCTGTATTGCATTACTAATTTTTTTCTGTCTGTTATGTGTGATTTCCATTTTGTTCATGAACATGTATAGCTCTATCTCTTTAATGTTGTTAATTGAGCATGAATGATTTCTTCCTGATTCCCAGTCTATTTTCTTGAATCTCATTATCTTGCATTATAAAGTACATTTTGAGGGCTGCATTTTGCCTGAGGACAATTACAAGTGTGCTAAAGGGGTAGGGGGAAAGGAGCACAAAGCTCAAAGGGTGTGGATGAATATTGGGCAGATATTATAGATGCCCTTACTCCACATCAGTCACACCCCCCCCCCGCAGCATTCCTTCCTATATGGCCAGGCAGGAAAACTAAAAGTGACATTTCCAAGACTTGGTGGTAGTTGGTGTGGTCATGACCAGTCATATGCACTTAGCTAGGATGTAAGTACGTAGAGAGGCATCCATTTTGCTGGTAGACACCATAGCAGACATGGCATTCCTGGGTCTCATTATAGCTGAAGTGCTGTGTTACTAGAGTCAACAGTTGGAATGGTGGCTTTCTCACTTCTCCATTGTTGCTAAGGTGGTGTCATCCTGGAGCCAGTGGTTAGAACAATGATCTCTAACGTCCTCAGTTTCCTCATTTTGGCAAAGGCAGCACTTTCTTTGGCAAACTATTCTGCATTGTTGTTCATGCATCATAATGGGGAAAGCATCTGCTTTTTAAGCCTGCCTGATGATGATGCCAGCACCAAATAGCTAGATCAGATCCCTTTCTGTAGACAGGCTGGAATGATTGCCATTATCTACATAGCTAAAGCTTGATCTATATACTTTGATTGAAATTCTTGGACCAGGCTACAAGAAAAAGAAAACAAATTCAAAATCATATTAATGATGAAGAAATATATTTTCCCCTATAATGTAAGTCCAGAAGTAGGAAGGATGCCAGGTTCAATGTGATCAGCTGCTGATGTCATCAGGAAATCAGTTTCTATGTTTTTCACATTTGCTATAGTCAACTCCTTCCTTGTATGGTCATAAGAAGGAAGCCTGTGGTATTAGGGCCTTATGGTTTTTTGTTTATGTCTGGACAGAGGGGTGGGGGTGAGAGAAGCTTGCTTCTCTTTCCCAGAATCCCAGAAGAAACTTCTCCTTGCTTCCCTTTGACCCAAATCATCTGCTACTTCTGAATTATTCACTGGCAAAGGTCTTATTGTGGAATGATCATGAATGGCTTTAACTAACCCTCAGGGTAGAATCAGTGCTGGGGAGTCAATGCTAATATTCACTGTGGTCATTCCGCCTTTTCTTTCCTCTCTGCGCTCTCCCAGCTTTTATTCCAGCAAAGCTAGAACACAATGGGAAGTTGTAAAGGGTTTTCTGTGAAGGGTCAAATGATAATCAAAATGGCTTCTACTCTTGTGAGAATTTTTATCCTCCCTTCTGGGCTACTTGGACATCCTCTAATACTGAGGTTAGAGATATCTGTGAGAAATTGTGGATTTCTGTGAATGTCTATCCCAACCAACAGCCCCTCATCCCTACCCTTACAAAGAGCTTCTGAACACGGAAGCTCCAATACGAGATGCACTGCCCAGTGCTGTGCAGATTCTCAGAAACTTCCATCTTTCTTTTGCTTAATTGCTTCTTATATAATTTTTGCTAATATCAACTTGATTTTTGTAACCTGATTTTTTGCTTTGAAAAGAGATTTTAGAAGTGGTTTCACTCCAACATTTTATGTCAAAAATTTAAAATTTTAAAACATTCTTTTACAAGTGACTTCTAGATTTTATCCATTTTGGCCAATGGACGTTATATATAAAATTTCAGATATTTGGAACATAGACTGTCAACTTGACCTGAAAGATCATCATTTAAAAAAAAATATTTCATGTATGCTATTAAATAGAATGTGCTCTCTTATTATTGGTTATAAGTGCCCATATATATAAGTATTCATATTATAGCCATTATATCATATAGATCCTCTCTATCCTTGGGATGTGTGTATGCGTACATGTGTGTGTTTGTCTGTTTTAGAGAAAGGTGTGAGTTGGACTCCCCATATCTGCTTATCTGAGACTCCAGGGACTTCCAAACACTTGGTCCCAGGGAGGGCAAAAGTTCTCCCTTTTTCCTAATCCAAATCTTGTACTTTCTTGCCTTGGCATAATTGTCAATACATATACCCAATTGACATTATAAAATAGAACACTTCTCATTCTACTTCATCTGTTACATTGATAGCACTGAACAGTTTTCTCCAAGAACAGTGGTTTTGTGTAATTTCAGTGTACATAGCCATGATTTTTCTAAAGCAAAGGCAGTCTCTTTTAAAGTATAATAGACTTTTCACCTCTGAAAAAATAAACTTCCATTGATCCTTAAATGCCTGTGCCTATACCTAAGAGAAAACAACAGTTACAAAAAATAAAGTCTCCTTTTACATACATACAAGTAACTTACAGATGTGAATTTTTCTCTTTCTTAGATATACACAAAATTGTTACTGAAGGGGAGCTTAATCAGTTGGCTCAGATTCGACCATTAATATTCAATTTTCATGAGCAATCAGCCATCAAGGATTGTTTGAAAATGCTTGAGAAAAAAGTAGCAGAATATGATATCATCCAGGAGTTTATGGTAAATATTTTGGTCTTAATAAGAGTCTGTATATGATTTATTTTTCAGTATCATTACTAGAGAGTTCCCTACCCCTTCCTTTTCTCCTTCCCTTCAATATTATGTATGCTTTTTACAGTAATAGGTATACATGGTAAAAAGAAAAGTTAAATAGCATAAAAGGGTATAAGTGGATAGAAAGTCAGAGTCTCCCTCTCTCTCCTTCTCTCCCCTTCTCTCCCTCTCTCCCTCTCTCCCTCTCTCCCTCTCTCCCTGTCTCTCTCCACTTCCTGGGCTCCTTTTCACTATTAAGCTTGTCACGTAAATTTCAAGAAAAATTGTTGGCACGTACTTTACTCAGTCTTCTACCTTCTTGAAAAAAAGTTTACACATAAGATATGATTTCCAAATATATTACCAGCATATATAGCTATATCTCATTCTTTTTAAGTACTACATGGTAGTTAATTATATGGATAAATACCTAAATTTCTTTGAGTTCAAGTGCTACTTCCTTTTTAGAGCTTTTCTTCATGTGCCTTCAGGTGCAATCTAGTGCTTGTAATTTACACTGGTGTCTCTATTCAGTGGCCACATGGTATGTGATTACAGGTCCTCTGACTATGCTGTTAACTCCTTAAGAATGAGCCCATTTTTCTGTTCATCTTTGTATTCCAACATCTGGAACATACTGAATGCTCAATAAGTGTTTGTGAATTCATACTTGGTAAAGAAATTTTTTGAAAAGAAGAATCCTTGGTGTCCTACTATATTTTTTTCAAAGGGTAAGGGGTAAATTGTGAGGCTGTTTAATTTTTTGTTTGTTTATTTGTTTTTGTTGTTATTTTTGTTTATAAAATGATTGATTTATAGGTAGGTTCTAAAAAGTGAATATTCTATATTTCCATTTTTTATGAAAGAGAAAAAATAATGAAATTCAGATGGAAAAGTATCTCCAGAGAGTTTAACATGTTTTTAATTATACAACTCATTGATTGGCATCTCAAACTTGAGATATTTTATGTAGTACTTTTTACATGGGGTTCTAACTTATCATACAACATGTTAAGTAGCAGGTCACATCATATAGGGGTTTAAGGATCATGAGCACGAAACAAAGGCAGAGTTCTTTTGTATTTTGGTTACCATAAATACATGACTTATATTTTTTACCTTTTAAAGGATTTAGAATTTAAGAATCTGCCTGGTGAGTTCATCTTTGGGAATCAACCAAGCAACAGAGAGAAAAACCGATACCGAGATATTCTTCCATGTAAGCTAAAAATGGTTTTGGTTATTTTTCTGTTTATATTTGGGAAAAGATAAAAAGAGGGTTGTATGGCTTTCTCCATAAGACATTTTGGCCTGTGACCATGGTGATGAGCATTTTAGGGTGTATTCTAGGGTACGGTGTGGGTAACGCCTATTTCTGGCATTTCTTCCAGCCACTGCCAGAGGGTCACTTGCAGCAGGGCTTCAGCGTTGTTCTCGTGCCATGAGCCACCCGGAACACAAAGTCCAATAGTCTGAGACACCTGCCACTTTTGATACCCCAAGCCCTGACCACCTTCCCTGGCAATTTTATTTAGACATAGAAATACAATGGGGCTATGTGTCTCCTTTGTCCTGGACAATAAAGCTATGAATCCACTCTCTAACAGAGGCTGCCCTTTGTCCTCAGAGCGCCCTCCACACTGCTTCCCTGCCCTCCCCACCAGCTACTCACAGGATTCGTCCATCTCAGGTTGTCTGCAGATCAGAAACAAAACGCAACAATGCGGTTTTATCTTTGGCAGGAAATCTCATTCCATGACTCATATTCCTTTCAAAGTCAAAATTTGTTCAAACTAAGTTTATCATGTCTCTTCCTCCAACTTGAGACTCCTCCTATATTTTACACCTTATTTAACATCTAGCTGTTCAGGCCAGAAATCTTTGGGTCACCTGCGATATCAAAAAAGTGGTTGCAAATTCTTTTGTTTCTACTCTGATTAATACCTCTAGAGTCCTCTCCCATCTCTGGATCCTCACTGCTGATGAGACTGAGACCGTTTCATTTCTCAGCTGGTCTTCTGTCTGCTGCCTCCCTTTCTCATTCATTCCCTGCAGCTACTGAGATGATTTTCCTAAAATGCAAGGCGGAACGTGTTGCTCTCCTTTCAAAGCTCTTCCTTGGTGCTTTGTTGCAGTCATGGTGAAGTTCCTTAGCATGGCTTATAAAGTTCTCCTCTGTTTACCATAGGACTTCTTTTGATTTCTGAAATCCATTCTCTTTTCCTTGCATCCATGGCTTTGAACTTGTGGTTCTTGCACAAAACATCTCTTCTCCCTTTTTGCTGAGGTAATACCTGCTGTCTTTCATAGCTATGTTGGCGGTGCCTTCCCTATTTTCCCCAAAGCTAGGCTTGGTGGTTTTCCAGTAGTCATATAGCATCTGTGACCACTATCTCCCACTTACCAAACTATATTTTAATTATTTTCTTTCCTGTTTCTCCCACTAGATTTGAGGTAGTTATCATAAAAATCAGAGTAGAACACATTGACTGCCATCATTAGATAAATACTTTCATGTTTAGTTGGTTCATTAAGATCTAAGATAACTTTACGATTATAAAAGATGATGAATACTTTCCCAGCATGGTTAAAATAATTTATTATGCTATCTTCTGCAGGGAGAGTATGTATAATTACATTGAAGAATACTTCTAAAATTAAGGTAATGAACCGCTATTAGACATTAAGGTAAGGAAACACTATTACCTATTGCTGGCAGGTAATATCAGCAATTTGGTGCTACTCGGGGAGGTGAGAGGTCCCAATTATATAATTTCTATTCCTACATGTGCAGTTAGCCCTTAAGTAGACTGAAAGCAAATAGACCTTTAAAATGAGGCTTTCAGGATTGTAAGAAGTTCATTTTAGGATATAAGGCACACATAACATTTAATCCGACTTGAATACTTTATTCTAGGTATAAAAAGAATGAAAAATGAGGAGATTAAAAAGTACTAAAAAGCTGGCCTGGCGTGGTGGCTCACGCCTGTAATCCTAGCACTCTGGGAGGCCGAGGTGGGCGGATTACTCAAGGTCAGGAGTTCAAAACCAGCCTGAGCAAGACCTCGTCTCTACTATAAATAAAAAAGAAATTAATTGGCCAACTAATATACATAGAAAAAATTAGCCGTGCATGGTGGTGCATGCCTGTAGTCCCAGCTACTAGGGAGGCTGAAGCAGGAGGATCACTTGAGCCCAGGAGTTTGAGGTTGCTGTGAGCTAGGCTGACGCCACGGCACTCGCTCTAGCCTGGCAACAAAGTGAGACTCTGTCTCAAAAAAAAAAAGTACTAAAAAGTAAAGTTAAATTACTAAAACTAAGGGAAATCATGTAAAACTTTTTGGCTTTTCTTAAAATAAAATAAACTTTAATTCACCCTGGTTCTATTTTAAGGAGCACTGGTTTATCTCCCTCACAATATAGTGTAATCTAACATGAAAAACAGTCTGCTTAAGTGACAGTCATAGAAGGCTTCTTTGATTTGTTGACCACAGATTTCTGGAATTTATAGAAAAAGTTCCTGAAGACTCACATCAAGAAATTCAGGGAAATCATTTATTTGCCCTCCTCTTCAAATGCTGAGAACACTAAATGGATGAACTCACGTGTCTTTGGACAGTGCAAATAGTGGCAGTCTTCACTTTGCACAGTCCCAATATACATGAATATCAGTTACTGTGTTTCATTAAATAACACCAGGTCCACAACCACAGGATTCACATTTCAGTTATAGACACATATTAACTGAGTAATTGCATGAAATAACAAATGTCACTGCTAGATCTTCAGTCCACAAGTCACTATCCAAATAACAGATATGCATTATAATCAGTGACTAATCATGTCACTTTTTTCAAAATATGTTGGCAATAGCTAACAGCACCTGTTACTCATTTTGCACACAGCAGAACATGTAGTTGTTTTGCCTCCTTGTCTTTAAGTGATAAACCTCATGACATTTTATAAGAATGGATAATCAAAAGACAGAGATGAAACTGCAGTAAGGAAATAAAAGTGATAATGCTGGGAGTGAAATTCGAATTGAATGTAAATGGAGTTATAGAAGAAATAGTAACTGGGGACATGTTGTCACTACCACCACTCAAGAGATTCTAGAGCTGCAAGAGGCACTTGTTGAAGAGGAACTTATTGACATGAATGAGGAAAGTGGCTGTGACAAAAAGGACATACGTGACCTAGGAGAAGTAATGCTGGCAAAAAACTTCACATAAAGGAACTGTCGAGCTATTTCATGACAATGTAAGTGCAAAGGATAAAATAGTGGAAGATGATTCAAGCTTAGAAGTTAGCCAAGACATGGGAAAAATACCTATTTTGTATTGTAAGTTATATGACTTACAATACAAAAAAAGCAAATGCTGTTCAAACTACTATGGACAAATTTTTTACAAATTAAATGCTTTAATTCTCAATGTTTCCAATGGTTAAAATTATAATATTCTAAATAAATATTATCCTTGATACTTTCTCACCTCTCTATAACAAGAAATAAGGGAGTTTTTAATACATTCACAAAAATTTTTAAGGACTGTGAAACAATCACAATTTTTCCTGTTAATTATTAAGATCGTTTTTATGATTTCAGTCTGCACAGTCATATTTGTGGCCCTATACTACTGTGCAAAGCAAGAATGGCCTTTATTATGTAGCACAGATATTTTCAAGTATAAAGACAGTAACTTGTATTTCTTTAACACTTTACAACTTACAAAGCATTTTAAAGGCCAGAAAAGGAGTGGTGCCACTATATATCAGGTTTTCTGACTCCTGGCCTGATATTAATGCCTTTTCTCTTACTTGTCTCTGGATGAGGTTCTACTCATAACTAATAAAAATAGTGACTTAGGTTTCTATTAGTTTTCACTTTTCAGAGCATGTTTACACATATCTCATGGAATACTCTCTATAGTCTTGTAGGGGTGTGGGGAAGATGGTAATATCTGAATGTAAGGATGCAAAACAGTAAGAAAAGGACAATCTTTCAACAAATGGTCTGAACAGTTGTATATTCATATGCCAAAAAAGTGGACTTTGGCCTTTACCTCACATGTTATGTAGAAATTAACTCAAAATAGATCATAGTCCTAATATTAGAATTAAAATCATAAAATTTCTGGAAGAAAACCTAAGAGAAAATTTTAATGTCCTTGGGTTTGGCAAAGTTTTCCTAAATAGAACATAAAAACCTCAAATTATAAAAGAAAAGTAAATTGGATTTAATCAAATTAAAAACAATTGCTCATCAAAGCATACAATTATAAAAACAAAAAGGCAAGTAACAGATTAGAAGAAAAATACATGAAAACATTTATCTGATAAGAGACATGTATTTAGAATGTATAAAGAATTCATTCCGATAACCCCAAAAAACGATGAATTACCCAACAACAAATGAACAAAATATTTGGGCAGCCAATTCTTGTATATATAGAAGGAAGATATATGGATGGCAAATAACTACATAAAAAGATGCTTAACACATTAATTATTAGGAAAATTCAAACTAAAACAATGAGTTACCTCTTCTTACCCACTGCAATGGAATAGAATGTAATGGTTTCTTATATGTACCTTATGACTCAGCAGTTCTACTTCCATGTTTTACCTAAGTGAAGCTAAAGCATTTGTCTGTGTAAAGACTTGTATATGAATGTTCCTATCAGCTTTATTTTCAATAGCCAAAAACTGGAAACAACTCGACTATCCTTTAGTGGGAGAGTGGATAAACAAATTGTGGTATGTTCACACAATGGAACATGACTGTGCAATGAAAAGCAACAAACTAATGATGCATTCAGTAACATGGATGAGTATCAAAATGATTATGCTCAGTGAAAGAAGCCAGTCAAAAGAGTAGTTACTGTACGTTGTGCACCAAATTGTTTGTTCCAAAATTCATATGTTGAAGTTCTAACCCCCAGTACCACGGAATATGACCTTATTTGAAGATAGACCTTTAAAGTGGTAATTAAGATAAAATGAGGCCCTTAGGGTGTACCCTAATCCAATCAATCCAGTGTTCTTATGAGAAAAGAAAATTAACACATACAAGAGACACCAGGGATTCAAAGGCACAGGGGAAAGGCCATGTGAGGACATAGCAAGAAGGCAGCCATCTGTGAGCCAAGAAGACAGGCCTCAGCAGAAACCAGACTGCCACTACCTTGATCTTTGGCTTATTCTGCATTATGTTGCTATAAAGGAATACCCAAGGCTATGTAATTTATAAAGAAAAAGGTTTGTTTATCTCAAAATTCTGCTGGCTAGAAGGTTCAAGATTGGGCATCTGGTGAGGGCCTTAGGCTGCTTCCACTCATGGTGGAAGGTGAGGGGAGCCCTAAGAGTAGGTCACATGGTGAGAGAGGAGGCCAGAGAGAAGGGGAGGTGGGAGCAAATTATGAGGTTTGAGAGGGACAAACATCCAAGCCATAGTATTCTAACCCTCGAACCCCAATTCTCATGTTCTTCACACATAACAAAATGTAATCATCCCTTCTCAATAGTCCCCCCAATTTAAAAGTCCCCCAAATGTAAAAGTCTGCAGTCTCATCTGAGATTCAAGGTAAGTTTCTTATAGCTGTGAACCAGTAAAATTAAAAAATAAGTTATTTACCCCCAAGGTATAATGGTAGTAGAGGCTTTGGGTAAACATTCCCATTCTAACAGGGAGAAACTGACCAAAAGAAATGGGTAGCAGGCCCCATGCAAGTCTGAAAGCCAGCAGAGCAGACATTAAACCCTAAAGCTCCAGAATAGTCTCCTTTGACTCCATGTCCTGCATTCTGGACACACTGGTACAGGGGTGGGCTCCCAAAGCCTTGGGCAGCCCCACCTCCATGGCTTTGCTGGGTGCAGCCCATGTCACTGCTGCCACAGGTTAGAACTGAATGCTTGCAGCTTTTCCAGGCTGAGGTGGCACACTGCCAATGGCTCTGCCATTTTGTGGTCAGTCCCATGGCAGCCTGGCCCATGTGGGTCCAATGGGCATTGCCCTGGTGGTGACTCTCTGACGTAACTCCAACCCAACATTTCCAGTAGGAAATGCCTACTGGAATTCCAGTAGGAATTGCCTTAGTAGAGGCTCTCTGCAGTGGCTTTGCCCCTGAAGCAGGATTCTACCTGGGCTCCCAGGCTTTCCAGTAAATTCTCTGAAATATAGGTAGAAACTGCCAAGCCTCCATGTCTTTGCATTCTGGGTGCCTGCAGACTCAACGCCATGTGGATGCCACCAAGGCTTACTTCTTAGGCCTTAAGGAATAGTGGCCCAAGCTGTACCTAGGGCCACTTGAGCCACAGCTGGAGCTGCTGGAGTGTCCAGGTTGTGGGGAACAGCATCCTGAGGTGGCACAAGACAGGGATGTACAGGGCATTGGTGCCCCTAGGCCTGTCTCCCAAAACCATTCCATTCTCCTAGACCTCAGGGATTGTGATGGGAGGGTGCCCTTGAAGATTTCTGAAATGCCTTCAGGGACTTTTTCCCATCATATTGACTATTAGCACCTTGCTCCCTTTTAGTCATGCTAATTTCTCTAGCAAAAGTCTCCAGCTGCATCCTGGGACTCATCTCCTGAAAATGCTCTTTTCTTCTTTACCACATGAGCAGACTGTGAATTTTCAAACTTTATGCTCTGCTTTCCTTTTAATTATTAATTCTACCTTCAGATCATTCCTTTGCTGCGTTAACTGATGACAAACTGTTAAAAGTAGCCAAGCCACTTCTTGAGTGCTTTGCTGCTTAGACATTTCTTCCTCCAAGAATTCTCTTATACAGGGGTCCTCAAACTTTTTAAACAGGGGGCCAGTTCACTGTCCCTCAGACTGTTGGAGGGCCATTGGAGAGTGCAGCGCACATTCCACACATGTGTACTGTGGGCCCGGGACGAGTTGGCTGCTAAGCAGGACAGGCAGCAGCAGCAAAAACACCCGGCGGGCCGCATATGGCCTGTGGGGCCGTAGTTTGAGGGTCCCTGCTTATGCTTGGCCTTCCACAAATCCCTAGGACATGGACAAAATGCAGCCAAGTTCTTTGCTGTGGTATAACAGGGCTGACCTTTGCTCCAGTTTCCAATAAATTCCTCATTTCCATCTGAGACCTGTCAGCATGGTCTTTACTATCTATCTTTTTATCAGCATTTTTGGTCACAACCCTTAACCACTCTAAGAAATTTCAGTTTCCCTTGTTTGTTTGGGGTGTGTGCGTGTGTTTGTTTGTGTGTGTGTGTCTTATTCTGAGCCCTCCAGACTCCAGCCTCTTACCCATTTTCATAGCTGCTCTTAATACATTTTCAGGTATCTTTGTATCAGTAATGCCCCATTCAATACCAGTTTTCTGTGGTAATCCATTTTGTGTTGCTATAAAGGAATACCCAAGACTAGGCAATTTATAAAGAAATGTATGTATTTATTTTTTTAGCTCACAGTTTTGCTGGCTGGAAGGTTCAAGATTGGGCATCTGGTGAGGGACTGGGGCTGTTTTCACTCATGGCAAGACAAAGGTGAGTCAGTGTGTGCAGAAATCACGTGGTGAGAGAGGAACAAGAGAAAGAAAGGGGAGGTTCCAGGCTCTTTTTAGCAACCAGCTCAACTGGGAATGAAAATAGTGTGAACTCACTCACTCCCAAGGAAAGATATGAATCTATTAAGGAGGGATTGTTTTGTGACCCAAACACCTACCATTGGGCCCCACCTCTAACATTGGGGATCAAATTTCAACATGAGGTTTAGAGGAGACAAACATTCAAACCATAACAATCTTGAACTTCCAGCCTCCAGAACTGTGAAAATAAATTTCTGTTGTTTAAGCCACTTAGTCTGTGGTATTTTGTTATGGTAGCCCTAACAAACTAATACATTGTATGTATCCATCTATATAAAATTCTAGAAAATTCGAATTAATTTGTATTGACATAAAGTATATCAGCTGTTGTCCTGGGGCAGGATTGAAGCGAGGAGGATAGATTACAAAGAGGCATGAGAACATTTTTGCAGTGATAGAGATGCTCCATTACCTTTGTTGTGATGGTTTCACAGTTGCACAGGTATGACCATTATACCTAAATAAACTGTTTAAAAGGAGGTTTCTGAGTGCAAAAGACATATTACACTTTTTAAAAATTTTGTACATCTTACCATCATAATACAGAAAGCTGTGAAAATACCAGTTCTTTAAGGCATAAATTTAACAAGCATGTGTATACTTTTGAATTTATTCTATATTTGTTTCTATTACTACCGCCACCAAAAATACTAATAATAGTAGTAGTACTAATAGTAATATGTTTATTACTACTGTGTATTACTGATCTAAGTCTATCATAGGTAGTAATGTTTAATCCTCACAACACCCCATAGTGTTTGTAATGTTAGTGTCTTTGTTTCACAAAAAGGTTAAATAGGAGACAGATCTGGGATTCAAATCCACACTTAACCACCACTATGTGATAATGCTTCTCTGTATTAATTTTTTATACTCTTAATGGATTATTCTTGTGCAATGTGTTGTTTTTTTATTTCAAGAAATACTTTTAGCATTTAAAAGATTCCTAGTCACTCTTTATATAGATGTAAAGTGATATTTTATAAGTTTTTTGCTGTTATTTAGTTTTCTTTCTGTCTTCCCTTCGTTTGAGGTCGCCGTGCTGATTCATTCGTTGTTTGGTTGGAGATGGTATAAGTAGTATATGTGGTCTCAAATTATTCATATTTGCTGCTATATCTCCCTTTTTATTCTGATAAATGAATATCTTTGTTGATTTTAGGATTCTGGGATTTTAATCTTTTGCTCGCAATTTCTCTGTTACTTTACTGTCTTCTAACTTCCACTGTTTTAGATGAGAATTCTAGTTGTAATCTCTTTTTCTTAATTAGAAGTATGCTATTTCATTCCAAAATCTTTAATTTTTTCCTTGTATTTAGGAATGTTACCAGATGTGTTTCATTTCTATCAGTCTCACCTAGAACTCATAGACCCTTTTAACTGGTCTTCCTTTGCTGTAAGAAAGTTTCTTCAGTTAGTAATTGCTCCACCTTGATCTACTTTTGTCTTTTTTTTCTGGAGTGCCTATGAATTGTAGGGTTCTCCCTTATGAGGCTTTCATATATTCTCTGATTGTTTTTTTACTTCTGCCTCTATGTAGTTTTGCACATGCTTTCTCTCTCTCTAGTTTTTATTTTTCATTTCTTCTTTCACTTGGTCTTTTAGGGAACTAATTTAAGTTTCAAGGAAGACCTTCCTCCTTCAAATTATCTGCTAAAAGTTTTAGCTTGTGTGATGGTTAATTTTATGTGTCAACTTGGCTAGGCCATAGTACCTAGGCCATTGGTCAAATATTAATCTAATATAGATGTTGCTGTGAAAGTATATTTTTAGATATGATTAACATTTAGATCAGTAAACTTTGAATAAAGCGAATTAGCCTACATAATGTGGCTGGGCCTGATCCAATCAGTAGAAGGCATTGATAATAAAATGCTGAAGTCTTCCAGGGAAAAAGGAATTCTACCTCTAGACTGCCTTTGGACTCAAGACCAAAACATCAGCTTTTCACTGGGTCTTCAGCTTGCTGGCCTGCCCTGCAGAGTTGAGACTTGCCAGCCCCACAATCACATGAGCCAATTCCTTAAAATAAATCTCTCTCATTGTGTAGATACAGCCTGTTGATTCTATTTCTCTGGAGAACCCGGAGTAATACACATTTTGGTATTGAGAGTGATTCTAGAGGAACAGAATCTTAAGGATGAGTTTCATGAATTGGTTCTCTATATGATAAGATTTAAAGACCTTAAGGACTTCCTAGTAGTGAATAGAGCGCACTGATAACCTACGATGTGATGTGGCAATGGGGATATTCAAAATACTGCCATTGGATACTCCTGTTCAAATACTTGCAAGAAATAAGGTTCTGGGTGACTGTATTTGATACCTTAGAACATTTTTGTCAAACTTGTGAGTATAGTGAGATTGGCTGGTTACTCCTAACATACTACTGGATGGAGGGAGAAAGAAATGATCTTAGGGATTCAATTTCCCAGCTCAAGTGCCACATAAATAACCTAAAAATTTCTCTTTCTGCCCTGAAAGGAACCCTTATATCCTGTAACCACAAGGCTGAGATTGCTGAAAACTAGACTCAAAGTCTCATCCTGAAAATGACTGGATTAAATTGCAAATTGAATTCCCAGCCTTGTAGGTTGTCTGCTTGTAAAGTGAGGGCATTGACGGGAAGGAATGGGACTGTGAAAATGGGAATGGAGACCTACAGGGAGAGCCTCGTGCAGCTGCGCCTATCGAGCCTCTGGGCTGTGTTGAGTCTCCTTTGCAAACAGAAGCAGCCACTCCGCCCTGACCTGAAGAGATTAACCCCACTTTGCCTAAGGAGATGTTTATGATGTCCCCTGAGCTTGCTACCTTGCAAGACAAAACATTTTCAACCCCTCATACCACAACCCCTCATTGCTTCTAGACCTGTAACTAGACTTGAGTCCCAGCAGGTCAGCCAGCCACGGCACCAGGCGCAGCTGAGGATGCACATACAAACTGGCTGTCTCGTGTGGGGCTCCGGTCGAATTCCATGAATCCTATCATTTATCTCTAACTATCACCGTCCATTTTTTAGCCCTGCCCCCTGCTGTGCTGGGTGTGCAGATTTCACAGATTTGTAGGGGAACGCCATCCGCTTACTCCCTCAGAGGGCTCCTCCTCTGCTGTGTTCAGTTGCAAACTAGTAGATACTTCCTGTGGCCTCATTCTGCCTGCACCGTAACGAACAGAAATTTCTCAAAGTGCCTGGATGCTAATGGTATCCTTCTGTATTTATTGAAAACTGCTAAAAAATAAAACCTCCCCTAATTCTGTATATCTTATGTCATGCCAGTAGGTTTTGGGGAGGGAAGAATTTTAACTGATGAGCTCAAATAACCCTTTCGAAAAGAAACTTCTATGCCCTCTTTTCTGTCAGTCAAAGAGATATGTGGATTCACCTATATGAAATGCTTTCATGAAGTACGGGTGTGTTGCATCTCCCACCTTTCCTTCATCCGCCAATGTTTCTTTTTCTGTAATAGATGATTCAACACGCGTTCCTCTTGGAAAAGGCAAGGACTACATCAATGCTAGCTATATTAGAATAGTCAATTATGAAGAAGAGTATTTTTATATTGCTTCCCAAGGACCACTGCCAGGCACCGTAGATGACTTTTGGCAAATGGTTTTGGAAAATAATTCTAATATCATTGCCATGATAACCAGAGAGATAGAAAGTGGAATTATGAAATGCTACCATTACTGGCCTACTTCTCTGAAGAAGCCTTTGGAATTGAAATGCCTCCGTATCTTCCTGGAGAACTACCAGATACTTCAGTATTTCACCGTTCGAATGTTTCAGATTGTGGAGAAGTCTGTAAGTCTTTGAAAAATCAGTATTAGATGTATGTTTCACTACACAAGCAGATGTGTTAGGACTAAAAGTTAAGAGTAGGATGAAAAACAAGACTGAGAATACTTTTTTAGGTAAATTTTTACTTTTCCCTGGGACCAGAAACTAAGCCACCACTATTTCTGCTTTTGCTTAACCAGACCCTGACTGGAGAGAAGAAAAAATTAGAAAGGAGAATTGGGGTGGGAAGAGTGAGTATTAGAAGTTGTCTGATTCTAGGATGTAATTCAACTGTTTTTGCTGAATGTAGAGATGTTTTAAGTACTTAAGGTGTGCCTATCCCTGAGCTGTGCCTGGTGCACTCACTGATACCTCAATTACTGTGGTCAGTGGCAATTTGAGATTATAAGGGATACTTTGAGATTATAAGGGATACTTTGAGGGCTTATAAGGGAAGTACTTAGCTTAGCTTGAGGTTTGGGGAAAGGTTTACTGCAGGAGGTAACATCTGGTTTGAGAATGACCCAAATGAGAAAGATGGAAGGAGGAAGTAGGTAATCAAATATTAAATAGGATGGAGTATCTATAGAGAAATATAAATAGTTAAGTATTTCTGGAATGAAAAAGTTCAATTACAGGGAATAATGAGAGATGAGGCTATAGAAAGTAAGCAAGGGTAAGCTGGAACATGAAATGTCTTAGATTTCAGCTAGTAAGCATAAACTTTATTATGAAGGTAATTGGGAGACATTGAAGAATTTAGTAAGAGTGGCATGATCAGCTAGGACATTTGGCATTGGCATGGAGAGCACAGATAATGTTTTGCAGATAAAACTAACTGGTAGACATACATGACTTACGACTTGTGACTTATAGGTAATAGGAGGGGTTTGAAATTATGCTATTCAAGATGGTAACCACATATGGCTATTTACGTTTAAATTTGAGTTATTTAAATTTATATAAAATAACAAATTCAGTTCCTTACTTATAGTAGCAGCATTTCTAGTGCTATTAGTCACATGTTATGAGTGGCTACCATATTGAACATACAGATTTAGAACATTTGTATCACCATAGGAAATTCTGTTGGGAAGCATTGGTCTAGAATAATTCATGGATTTCTTTGCTCAAGTAGATTTGGAAAATAGGAAAGGAATGGTTTATAGGAGAAAGTAATGAGTTATATTACTCTAATGGATTGCATTAGCAGGTAAGTGATATATGTGTTCAAGTGAGTGAAAAGAGTAGGAGTTGAACAGGAAGCTTGAAGACAGTGGTGAGGCTTGGAGTCATCACCAAAGAGGTTGATTGGTACACAGACAATAACCAAGAAAAGAGTAACTGAGTGATGCTGAGGTTGGACATATAACTTTGCAATGGCAACAAAATGTGCAACTATGTGATTATTTGCTTTGCAGTAGCATAATTTATAGGCTCACTGAACACAGGTATGGGACTGACCCAGAGTGAGATGTTGTCTAGTACATGTGGCAAGATGCAAAAGATCAAAGGAGTTGAGAGTTTGGTGAAGAGAATACATTCAGATAATCAGCCATGAAGTCAAAATCATTTAGGGATATGAATGGAATCAGGGGGCCAGTCAGCTAGAGGTAAATTGAGGATGGAAAGGACTGGAGAGCTCCATTTGGCCACGTTGTTGTTGTGAAGCACAAATGGGGTGTCAGCAAGAGCTTCTGGTCCTAAATTCATGACTGGAGTTGTAGGACTGGAAAATTTTGATTCTAGATGATGGTAAGTCCAAGGAGTGGTCATCATTGTGGGAATAAGAAGAAAGGAGGTGATCTCCCCTGCAAGAGAGAAATAAAAATGTCATGGAGTTAGTGTCTGCAGGGCTGATGAGACACTGAATTTGCCCTGGACGATGCCAGAATATGTGGCAGGGAGAAGGCTAGGATCTTCAGTGAATGTGAAGGCTTGATCAGGAGGTTGAGCCACTTGGTTATGGCAATGAGAAGATGAAGCTAAGAGGTATGAAACTCATAAGGAAGAAGGGTTTATATACAAGGAAAAGGGATAATGAATTGCAAAAAGAAGTAGGCAGCAAGGGATGTCTTGAATGCTTCTACTTTCCTGGGATAGAAGACAGACAAAGTCTTAACTCTTAGAACATTTAGAGTCTGGTAGGGAAGGAAGACACTAAATGAGTCACTTTCTTTTTTTTTTTTATTTCGGCATATGATGGGGGTACAGATTTTAAGGTTTCAATAAATGCCCTTCCCCCCCTCCCCCCACAAGTCTGAGTCTCCAGCATGACCATCCCCCAGACGGTGCACATCTCACTCATTATATATGTATATACCCACCCCCCACCCCCCTGCCCAATACCCTATTACTGTAGTACCTATGTGTCCACTTAGGTGCTACTCAGTTAATACCAGTTTGCTGGTGAGTATATGTGGTGCTTGTTTTTCCATTCTTGGGATACTTCACTTAGTAGTATGGGTTCCAGCTCTAACCAGGAAAATATAAGATGTGCTATATTACCGTTGTTTCTTAGAGCTGAATAGTACTCTGTGGTGTACATATACCACATTTTATTAATCCATTCTTGGATTGATGGGCACTTGGGCTGCTTCCACAGCCTTGCAATTATGAATTGTGCTGCTATAAACATTCGAGTGCAGGTGCCACTTCTAAATGACATGTATGCTTGGAGAATATAGGCCAGATGGGAGGCACGGAGCAATGGTCTCTCTGAAAGGTCAATGTGTAGAGCTGTGGCAAGATTTGGGCTGAGGCCCGCAAGCTTCAGAACCCAGGGTTTACTTTGGAGAGGCTGCATCAGGTGCACTGTTTTCATGTCACCGGGGAAGGAAATCCATGAGGTCCACCTTTGTGCAGATTCTCAATGGTCAGTGGTGACAGGAGAGATTTAACCCCTAAAATACATGATCTAGTGATACCAATCCTCAACTTAGTGTCTTCACAAAATTTTCAAGTGTTTCCCTCATCTAGTTTCATGTATCAGTGATTCAGACTTGAGTTTCTATTTGATATTAAGTTCAAAGATGTTTTAAATATAACCCCTCCTTCCCACTGCCATTTACAGATTTCTGCCACTGTAGAATGCCATATAATACAGAAATCATTAATAACCTAAGTGACTTGAGTGTTTTCTAGTGTTATGATTCTAGGTAGAAAATTGTATTAGATAAGTCAGTATAGGATTAGAGTTCTCCAGAGAAACACAATGAATAGCACGTATGGAAATAGAGGGAGAGACTGCTTTTCAGGAACTGGCTGAAGTGATTGTGGCAGGTTGGCAAATCTGCAGGGGGGAGCATGGACTGGAAACCGAGGGAGGAATTGCAGTTCGAGTGCAGAGCAGCTGCTGGCAGAGTTCCTTCTTGCTCACAGCAGGTTGGTCTTCATTCTGTCAAGGCCTTCAGTGGGTTAGATGAGGCCAGCCACATTATGGGGGGTAATCTGTTTTAATCAAAGTGTGCCTATTTAAACGTTAATTGCATCCAAAAAAATACCTTCACAGAAATGTCTAGAATAATGTTTGACCAAATCTGGGTACTGTGGGCCAGCTAAGTTAACACAAAATTAACCATCACAAATTTCAGTAGGTACTTTGGATTAGAATAGGGCTCTGAACACTAGCATCTTTATTCAGGAAACTCAGGAAAATAGAGGTGCATGAGGCAGAAGCAGAGGAGGAGTGAGGAACCCATTCTGAGTTTTTCGGTGTAGGTCCCAAGTGAGCTATGACGAGGGCTTTGCACTGAGAAAAGGGTGACATCCCTTTGGGTGGGATTCAGGTGAGCTCAAAGTGCTTCATCTGCCAGCCCTGAGTAGAGCCGCACGACTACACTGCCAGGGGGCCTAGCACGACAGCCAGGGCCACAGTCTACTCTCATGGTCAGTAACTGCTCGGTCCTCATTGCCAGAAGAGGTTGGTGCCTCCCTGGTCAGGGACCTACCTATTCTAATCAAATTTGGTATATAATATTTAAGTTAAGACAGGTTGTCTTTTGGCCTTATTCCTAAAACGTCAGCCCATCTTTTACTCTAAGTGTTTTGAAATCTTGGCTTTCCTGCAGCCTCATGGCGCACAGGAGAGTGGTAGGTTGGGATGCAGGAGGCCTGCATTTCAGTGGCAGCTCTAAACGTGGGAGTCCTGAGCTAGTATGCGTCTTAATCCCCTCAGCCTTACTCTTGTATTTGCAAAAGGGTGGTAAAATAGTGCCTACCACACGTGGTCGATGCGAGGATTAAATGAGGCAATGCACATGAAGCCCTTAGCTTTCTTGACATCTAGTAAGTGCATAATTTATGTTACCTATTAGTGTTCTTATTTTTATTATTGTTACTGTGTTCTCCTTTGTAAAATGGAAAAAAACTTCTATTCCTGGTAACTTTCAGAATTCTTAAACATCAAGATGAGGTTTGAGCACTCTTTGAAAGCTCTGTATAATGTTAATATAGTACCACATGGCCACAATATTATTGCTGTTGGCATATTAAACATTGAAAGGAGATTTGTAATATAAGAAACTGATAAAGCTCTCTCTCTGTCTCTCTAACAGACAGGAACTAGTCACTTTGTGAAACACTTGCAGTTCACCAAGTGGCCAGACCATGGCACTCCTGCCTCAGCAGATGGTTTCATAAAATACGCTCGTTACGTGAGGAAGAGCCACCTTACAGGACCCATGGTTGTTCACTGCAGTGCTGGCGTAGGCCGGACAGGGGTGTTCATATGTGTGGATGTCGTGTTCTGTGCCATCGAAAAGAACTACTCAGTAAGTGCGGGAGTCGATGTTGGCAAACACACTACTTTTAACAGCCTGACGATATTGGAAGACTGATATTCAGCCTTCAAGAACGACTTGGTAAATTGAAAGCACATGTGCGTGGGATACTTGGTTCTCACTGAGCTCATTGCAGGTGACTGGGGTTGCTGTGAGGATTAAAGCACCTAATGTAAATAAATGACTTAGAACATGGCAGATACACAGTCAATGTGAGTGCATTCTCCTTTTCCTTCCCTCCACCCCACACATGGTTTTTAGAACTTGCTAGAGGATGTTGTTGAAGTGTGCCTGTTTTTAATGAACATAAATAACATGCACATGTGTGTGTTAGAAGACGATGTATACTTCAGAGTTAATGAGAGATCTGTGGGTTTGACTGCCAGTTTGCCACATGCTTTAGATTTTGGTGATTTTGTATACATTGTTCAACCTCTCTCAAACCCCGTTTTCATGTAAAATGAGGATAATAATACTGTTGCCTTTGACTCAATCATTACTAATCCTTTACTATCCTCCTTAATTTGGAACCAGCTAAGAGAGAGAAACATGAATCAGACTATTTTCTGTATTATTTATGTATTATTATATTTTTATTTTTCAAATTTTATTTATTAAAATAGATCACATCTGTGTTCTTTTTCTTTTAATTTTAGTTGACTTGTGAGAATTGTACATCTTTATGGGGTACAGAGTGATATTTCAATATATGTAGACTATGTGCATATCTATCACCTCTAACATTTATAATTTTTTTTTGTGCTAGGAACATTCAGTGTCCTTGTAGCTTTTTGAAAATGCACAATAAATTATACTTAGCCATATTCATCCTACCGTGCTATAGAACACTAGAAGTCATTTCTCCTATCTGGCTGTCATTTTGTATCTGTTAACCAACCTGTCTCCTCCTCTCCCTCCTACACTTCCCAACCTCTAATAACCACAATTCTGCTCTCTATTTCCACGAACTCAATTATTTTCTAGCACCCACATATGAATGAGAACATATGATATTTATTTTTCTGTGCCTGACTTATTTCTTTGGACATAATGCCCTCCAGGCTCAACCATATCACCATGTATGACAGTATATCATTATTCAATATGGCTGAATAGAATCCCATAGTGTACATACACTAAATTTTCTTTATCCATTCATCTGTTGATGGACTTTTATGTTGATTCCATCCTAGCTGTTGTCAATAGTGCTGCAATAAACATAAGGGTACAGGCATCCCTTTGATATACTGCTCTCCATTCCTTTGTATAAATACCCAGTGGTGGCATTGCTAGATCAGATAGTAATTCTATTTTTAGTTTTACAGAAATCTCCAGGATGTTTTCCATAATGGCCGTACTAATTTACATTTTCACCAGCAGTGTCTAAGAGCTCCATTTTCATTGCATCCTTGTGAACATTTTTTTTTTGTCTTTTTGATAATAGTCATTAAAACTGGGATGAGATGATATCTCATTGTGCTTTTGATTTGCATTTTCCTGATGATTCATGATGTTGAATTTTTTTTTTTTTTTTGAGACAGAGTCTCACTCTGTTGCCTGGGCTAGAGTGCCATGGCATCAGCTTAGCTCACAGCAACCTCTAACTTCTGGGCTCATGCAATCCTCCTGCCTCAGCCTCCCAAGTAGCTGGGACTATAGGCATGCACCACCATGCCTGGCTAATTTCTTATATATATTTTTGGTTGGCCAATTAATTTCTTTCTGTTTTTAGTAGAGACGGAGTCTTGTTCTTGCTCAGGCTGGTTTCGAAGTCCTGACCTCGAGCGATCCACCTGCCTCGACCTCCCAGAGTGCTAGGATTACAGGTGTGAGCCACCGCGCCCAGCCGTGATGTTGAAATTTTTCATGTATTTCTTGTCCATTTGTATGTCTAATCTTGAGAAATATGTGTTTAGATCCTTTGGCCACTTTTTAATCAGGCTCTTTATTTGTTGCTGTTGAGTTGTGTGAGTTCCTTTTATATTTTAGATATTAACAGTCTTCCTTTTGTTGGAAGAATGTTTGCAAATACTTTCTCCCATCATGAGGGTTGTCTCTTCAATTTATTACATGTTTCCTTTGCTGTGTAGAACCAGCCTGCCATTTAATACGGTGTCATTTGTCTATTATTGTTTTTGTTTTCTATGTTTTTAAGCCTTCACCATAAAATCATTGCCTAGATCAGGGTTCCTCAAACTACGGCCCACGGGCCACACACAGCCCACTGAGGACATTTATCTGGCCTGCTGGGTGTTTTTGCTGCCGCTGCCTGTCTTGCTTAGCAGCCGACTCATTCCAGGCCCACAGTGCGCATGTGTGGAATGTGCACCGCACTCTCCAACGGCCCTCCGACGGTCTGAGGGACAGTGAACTGGCCCCCTGTTTAAAAAGTTTGAGGACCCCTGGCCTATATCAATGTACTGAAGCATTTCCTCTATGTTTTCTTCTAGTAGTTTTATAGTTTAGGGTCTTGTGTTTAAGTTTTTAATCCATTTTGAGTTGATTTTGGTAAATGGTAATAGGTAGGGGTCTAGTTTCATTATTCTGCATATGGATTTCCAGTTTTCCCAGTACCATTTATTGAAGAGGGTATTCTTTCTTTAATGTATGTTCTTTGTGCCTTTGTCAAAAGGCAGTTGGCTGTAAATGCATAGATTTATATATGGGTTCTCTATTCTGTTCCATGGTCTGTGTCTATTATTATACCCAAACCATGCTGTTTTGTTTACTATAGCTGTGTAGTATATTTTGAAATCAGGTACTATAATGCCTCCAGCTTTGTTCTTTTTGCTTTGGCTATTTGGTGTCTTTCATGCTTCCATATGAATTTCAGGATTGTTTTTCTGTTTCTATGAAGAATGTCATTGGTACTTTATAGGGATTGCATTGAATCTGTAGATTTCTTTGGGTAATATGGACATTTTAACAATATTCTTCTAATCCATGAGCATGGGATGTCTTTCATTTATCTTTGTTCTCTTCAATTTCTTTCATCAGTGTATTACATTTTTCATCTTTCATCTCTTTGGTTAAATTTTTCCTAGGTATCTTTTCATCTCTTTGGTTACATTACATCTTTCATCTCTTTGGTTAAATTTTTCCTAGGTATCTTTTTGAGCTATTATAAATGAAATTGCCTTATTTCTTTTTCAGCTAGTTTGTTATTAATATATATAAAAAAACACTGGGTTTTGTTTGTTGATTTTTTTAATCCTGCAGCTGAATTTGTTTATCAGTTCTAAGAGGTTTTTTGTAGAGTCCTTAAGTTTTTCTCTATATAAAATTATGTCACCTTCAAAAGGGGACAATTTAACTTCCTCTTTTCCAATTTGGATGCACTTTATTTCCTTCTTTTGACTAATCACACTGGCTAGAACTTCCAGTGCTATGCTGAATAAAAGCAGTGAAAGTGGACATCTTTGTCTTGTTCCTGTTATTAGAAGAAAGGCTTTCAGCTTTTGCCCATTTATTATTCTGTTAGCTGTGTGTTTGTCATATATGGTCTTTATTGTGTTGAGAGATGTTCTTTCTATGCCTAATTTGTTGAGAGTTTTTTATCATGAAGGAATGTTGAATTTAACAAATGCTTTTTCTGTGTCTGTTGAGGTAATTATGTAGTTTTTTTCCCCTTCATTTTGTTGATGTGATGTATTACATTTATTGATTTGTGTATATTGAACCAACCTTCCATTTTTGGTACAAATCCCACTTGATCGTGGTGGTGTATTTTGTTTTTGATATGCTGTTGGATTTGGTTTGCTAGTATTTTGTTGAGTATTTTTGCATCTGTGTTCATCAGGGATATTGGCCTGTAGTTTTCTTTATTTGTTTTGTTTTTGTCTGGTTTTGATATCAGGGTAATGGCAGCCTCACAGAATGGATTTTGAAATAATCCCTCTCCTTTAATTTTTTACAGCAGTTTGAGTAGAATTGATGTTAGTTCTTGAAAACTTTGGTAGAATTTAGCAGTTAAGTCATTAGGTCCTGGGCTTTTCTTTGTTAGCTGACTTTTTATTACTGATTCACTCTTGTTACTCATTATAGATCTGTCCAAGTTTTCTATTTCTTCATGGTTCAATCTTGGTAGGTTGTGTGTATCTAAGAAATTATTCATTTCTTCTAGGTTTTCTAATTTGTTGGCCTATAGTTGTTTTTAATAGTCTCTAATTATCCTTTGTTTTTCTGTGGTATCATTTGTAATGTGTCCTTTTATATTTCTGATTTTATTTGGTTTCTCTTTTTTCTTGGTTAGTCGAGATAGTGGTTTATTGGTATTGTTTATCTTTTTTAAAAGCCAAAGTTTCCTTTCATTGATGTTCTGTATTATTTTTTAAGTCTCTTTCACTTAGTTCTGCTCTGATATTTATTATTTCATTCCTTCTACTTATTTTGGGTTTGGTTTATTTTTACTTTTCTAATTCCTCAAGGTGCATCATTTGGTTATTTGGTGTTTTTCTTTTTTTTTTTTTAATGTAGATGTTTAGTGCTATAAATTTCCCTCTTAGTAATGTTTTTACTGTATCTCATAGGTTTTGACATGTTTCCATTCTCATTTGTTTCAAGAAATATTTAAATTTTCTTCCTTAATTCTTCATTCATTCAGTGGTTGGTTATGGGCATGTTATTTAATTTCCATGAATCTGTAAAGTTTCCAGAGTTCCTCTGGTCATTGATTTCTGTTTGTTTTTTTAAGAAAAAACTAGAAATATCTATTTGTAGTCTGAAAATATACTTCCTATGATTTTGATATTTTAAAATTTCTTGAGACTTGTTTTGTGAACTAACATATGGTTTATTCTAGAAAATGTTCCACATGCTGATGAGAAGAATGTGTCCTGCAGCTGTTGGATAAAATGTTCTGTAATGTTATATTAGGTCCATTTGGTCTATAGTACATATTAAATCAATATTTCTTTGTTGATTTTTCATCTAGATGATCTATCCAATGCTGCTTATAGGTGTTGAAGTTCCCAACTGTTATCATATTGAGG